CGGAGACGATCGAAGTGACCGACGTCAAGCCTGAGGAGACGACGGAAGTGACGGAGGTGACGACGACTGAGATTGTCGAGGAGACCGTGGAGGAGACCGAGGTGACGGAGGGCAAGAAGCCCAAGTCAAAGAAGAGCCGCAAGCCGAAGCGCAAGCCGACTGCGGGCACGACCGAGGAGGAGACGACGGAGGTGACGGAAGTGACGACGACTGAGATTGTCGAGGAGACCGTGGAGGAGACCGAGGTGACGGTGGGCAAGAAGCCCAAGTCAAAGAAGAGCCGCAAGCCGAAGCGCAAGCCTACTGCGGGCACGACCGAGGAGGAGACGACGGAGGTGACGGAAGTGACCACCGTGGAGACGGTCGAAGTGACCGAGGAAGTGCCGGCCACCACGGAGGAGACGACGGAGGTGACCGAAGTGACCACGGAGACGATCGAAGTGACCGACGTCAAGCCTGAGGAGACGACGGAAGTGACGGAGGTGACGACGACTGAGGTTGTCGAGGAGACCGTGGAGGAGACCGAGGTGACGGAGGGCAAGAAGCCCAAGTCAAAGAAGAGCCGCAAGCCGAAGCGCAAGCCGACTGCGGGCACGACCGAGGAGGAGACGACGGAGGTGACGGAAGTGACCATCGTGGAGACGGTCGAAGTGACCGAGGAAGTGCCGGCCATCACTGAGGAGACGACGGAGGTGACTGAAGTGACCACGGAGACGATCGAAGTGACCGACGTCAAGCCTGAGGAGACGACGGAAGTGACGGAGGTGACGACGACTGAGGTTGTCGAGGAGACCGTGGAGGAGACCGAGGTGACGGAGGGCAAGAAGCCCAGTCAAAGAAGAGCCGCAGCTGAAGCGCAAGCCGACTGCGGGCACGACCGAGGAGGAGACGACGGAGGTGTACGCAAGTGACCACGTGGAGACGGTGGGAGAGTGGAATGGAGGAAGTGCCGGCCACCACGGAGGAGACGACGGAGGTGACCGAAGTGACCACGGAGACGATCGTAGTGACTGACGTCAAGCCTGAGGAGACGACGGAAGTGACGGAGGTGACGACGACTGAGATTGTCGAGGAGACCGTGGAGGAGACCGTCGTGACGGAGGGCAAGAAGCCCAAGTCAAAGAAGAGCCGCAAGCCGAAGCGCAAGCCGACTGCGGGCACGACCGAGGAGGAGACGACGGAGGTGACGGAAGTGACCACCGTGGACACGGTCGAAGTGACTGAGGAAGTGCCGACCACCACGGAGGAGACGACGGAGGTGACGGAAGTGACCACCGTGGAGACGGTCGAAGTGACCGAGGAAGTGCCGGCCACCACGGAGGAGACGACGGAGGTGACCGAAGTGACCACGGAGACGATCGAAGTGACCGACGTCAAGCCTGAGGAGACGACGGAAGTGACGGAGGTGACGACGACTGAGATTGTCGAGGAGACCGTGGAGGAGACCGAGGTGACGGAGGGCAAGAAGCCCAAGTCAAAGAAGAGCCGCAAGCCGAAGCGCAAGCCGACTGCGGGCACGACCGAGGAGGAGACGACGGAGGTGACGGAAGTGACCACCGTGGAGACGGTCGAAGTGACCGAGGAAGTGCCGGCCACCACGGAGGAGACGACGGAGGTGACCGAAGTGACCACGGAGACGATCGAAGTGACCGACGTCAAGCCTGAGGAGACGACGGAAGTGACGGAGGTGACGACGACTGAGATTGTCGAGGAGACCGTGGACGAGACCGAGGTGACGGAGGGCAAGAAGCCCAAGTCAAAGAAGAGCCGCAAGCCGAAGCGCAAGCCGACTGCGGGCACGACCGAGGAGGAGACGACGGAGGTGACGGAAGTGACCACCGTGGAGACGGTCGAAGTGACCGAGGAAGTGCCGGCCACCACGGAGGAGACGACGGAGGTGACCGAAGTGACCACGGAGACGATCGAAGTGACCGACGTCAAGCCTGAGGAGACGACGGAAGTGACGGAGGTGACGACGACTGAGATTGTCGAGGAGACCGTGGAGGAGACCGAGGTGACGGAGGGCAAGAAGCCCAAGTCAAAGAAGAGCCGCAAGCCGAAGCGCAAGCCGACTGCGGGCACGACCGAGGAGGAGACGACGGAGGTGACGGAAGTGACCACCGTGGAGACGGTCGAAGTGACCGACGTCAAGCCTGAGGAGACGACGGAAGTGACGCGAGGTGACGACGACTGAGATTGTCGAGGAGACCGTGGAGGAGACCGAGGTGACGGAGGGCAAGAAGCCCAAGTCAAAGAAGAGCCGCAAGCCGAAGCGCAAGCCGACTGCGGGCACGACCGAGGAGGAGACGACGGAGGTGACGGAAGTGACCACCGTGGAGACGGTCGAAGTGACCGAGGAATTGCCGGCCACCACGGAGGAGACGACGGAGGTGACCGAAGTGACCGCGGAGACGATCGAAGTGACCGACGTCAAGCCTGAGGAGACGACGGAAGTGACGGAGGTGACGACGACTGAGATTGTCGAGGAGACCGTGGAGGAGACCGAGGTGACGGAGGGCAAGAAGCCCAAGTCAAAGAAGAGCCGCAAGCCAAAGCGCAAGCCGACTGCGGGCACGACCGAGGAGGAGACGACGGAGGTGACGGAAGTGACCACCGTGGAGACGGTCGAAGTGACCGAGGAAGTGCCGGCCACCACGGAGGAGACGACGGAGGTGACCGAAGTGACCACGGAGACGATCGAAGTGACCGACGTCAAGCCTGAGGAGACGACGGAAGTGACGGAGGTGACGACGACTGTGATTGTCGAGGAGACCGTGGAGGAGAGCGAGGTGACGGAGGGCAAGAAGCCCAAGTCAAAGAAGAGCCGCAAGCCGAAGCGCAAGCCGACTGCGGGCACGACCGAGGAGGAGACGACGGAGGTGACGGAAGTGACCACCGTGGAGACGGTCGAAGTGACCGAGGAAGTGCCGGCCACCACGGAGGAGACGACGGAGGTGACCGAAGTGACCACGGAGACGATCGAAGTGACCGACGTCAAGCCTGAGGAGACGACGGAAGTGACGGAGGTGACGACGACTGAGATTGTCGAGGAGACCGTGGAGGAGACCGAGGTGACGGAGGGCAAGAAGCCCAAGTCAAAGAAGAGCCGCAAGCCGAAGCGCAAGCCGACTGCGGGCACGACCGAGGAGGAGACGACGGAGGTGACGGAAGTGACCACCGTGGAGACGGTCGAAGTGACCGAGGAAGTGGCCGGCCACCACGGAGGAGACGACGGAGGTGACGGAAGTGACCACCGTGGAGACGGTCGAAGTGACTGTGGAAGTGCCGGCCACCACGGAGGAGACGACGGAGGTGACCGAAGTGACCACGGAGACGATCGAAGTGACCGACGTCAAGCCTGAGGAGACGACGGAAGTGACGGAGGTGACGACGACTGAGATTGTCGAGGAGACCGTGGAGGAGACCGAGGTGACGGAGGGCAAGAAGCCCAAGTCAAAGAAGAGCCGCAAGCCGAAGCGCAAGCCGACTGCGGGCACGACCGAGGAGGAGACGACGGAGGTGACGGAAGTGACCACCGTGGACACGGTCGAAGTGACCGAGGAAGTGCCGGCCACCACGGAGGAGACGACGGAGGTGACCGAAGTGACCACGGAGACGATCGAAGTGACCGACGTCAAGCCTGAGGAGACGACGGAAGTGACGGAGGTGACGACGACTGAGATTGTCGAGGAGACCGTGGAGGAGACCGAGGTGACGGAGGGCAAGAAGCCCAAGTCAAAGAAGAGCCGCAAGCCGAAGCGCAAGCCGACTGCGGGCACGACCGAGGAGGAGACGACGGAGGTGACGGAAGTGACCACCGTGGAGACGGTCGAAGTGACCGAGGAAGTGCCGGCCACCACGGAGGAGACGACGGAGGTGACCGAAGTGACCACGGAGACGATCGAAGTGACCGACGTCAAGCCTGAGGAGACGACGGAAGTGACGGAGGTGACGACGACTGAGATTGTCGAGGAGACCGTGGAGGAGACCGAGGTGACGGAGGGCAAGAAGCCCAAGTCAAAGAAGAGCCGCAAGCCGAAGCGCAAGCCGACTGCGGGCACGACCGAGGAGGAGACGACGGAGGTGACGGAAGTGACCACCGTGGAGACGGTCGAAGTGAACTAAGATAGTCCCGGCCCCCCACGGAGGAGACGACGGAGGTGACCGAAGTGACCACGGAGACGATCGAAGTGACCGACGTCAAGCCTGAGGAGACGACGGAAGTGACGGAGGTGACGACGACTGAGATTGTCGAGGAGACCGTGGAGGAGACCGAGGTGACGGAGGGCAAGAAGCCCAAGTCCGCGTCGGACGCGACTCTGATAAGCTCGTCGACCGAGCAGAAAACGGACGAGGACGGTTCCGCCGGCGCCACGGTGAAGACGGAGGTGTTCCGTACGACGGGCGCGAACGGAAGCATCATCACCAAGACGGTTCGCACGACGATCCGTAAGCTGACTACTTCCAGCGGTGTGGTGAAGCGTAAGATCGAGGTGCAGACGACGACGGTGACGAAGACGGCGTCGGGTGAGACGAGCACAACTGTGGAGACGGAGACCCGCGAGGAGATCGACGACGACAGCCGTGCGATGAGCGCTGTTACCACGAGCACGTCCGCGTCGGACGCGACTCTGATAAGCTCGTCTACCGAGCAGAAGACGGACGAGGACGGTTCCGCCGGCGCCACGGTGAAGACGGAGGTGTTCCGTACGACGGGCGCGAACGGAAGCATCATCACCAAGACGGTTCGCACGACGATCCGTAAGCTGACTACTTCCAGCGGTGTGGTGAAGCGTAAGATCGAGGTGCAGACGACGACGGTGACGAAGACGGCGTCGGGTGAGACGAGCACAACTGTGGAGACGGAGACCCGCGAGGAGATCGACGACGACGGCCGTGCGATGAGCGCTGTTACCACGAGCACGTCCGCGTCGGACGCGACTCTGATAAGCTCGTCTACCGAGCAGAAGACGGACGAGGACGGTTCCGCCGGCGCCACGGTGAAGACGGAGGTGTTCCGTACGACGGGCGCGAACGGAAGCGTCATCACCAAGACGGTTCGCACGACGATCCGTAAGCTGACTACTTCCAGCGGTGTGGTGAAGCGTAAGATCGAGGTGCAGACGACGACGGTGACGAAGACGGCGTCGGGTGAGACGAGCACAACTGTGGAGACGGAGACCCGCGAGGAGATCGACGACGACAGCCGTGCGATGAGCGCTGTTACCACGAGCACGTCCGCGTCGGACGCGACTCTGATAAGCTCGTCGACGGAGCAGAAGACGGACGAGGACGGTTCCGCCGGCGCCACGGTGAAGACGGAGGTGTTCCGTACGACGGGCGCGAACGGAAGCATCATCACCAAGACGGTTCGTACGACGATCCGTAAGCTGACTACTTCCAGCGGTGTGGTGAAGCGTAAGATCGAGGTGCAGACGACGACGGTGACGAAGACGGCGTCGGGTGAGACGAGCACAACTGTGGAGACGGAGACCCGCGAGGAGATCGACGACGACAGCCGTGCGATGAGCGCTGTTACCACGAGCACGTCCGCGTCGGACGCGACTCTGATAAGCTCGTCGACCGAGCAGAAGACGGACGAGGACGGTTCCGCCGGCGCCACGGTGAAGACGGAGGTGTTCCGTACGACGGGCGCGAGCGGAAGCATCATCACCAAGACGGTTCGCACGACGATCCGTAAGCTGACTACTTCCAGCGGTGTGGTGAAGCGTAAGATCGAGGTGCAGACGACGACGGTGACGAAGACGGCGTCGGGTGAGACGAGCACAACTGTGGAGACGGAGACCAGCGAGGAGATCGACAGTGATTCTGTGGGTCTTATGAATATTACTTCTGTTGTAGGCACCGACGGCACGAGGCGAAGTGTCGTGGAGACGAATTGGGAAGAAAAAACGGCTGTGTTGACCGAACAGCGTACTGGTAAGGGTTCTGCCTTGTGGAACATGAGACGCCGACGTCTTGTCAAGACCTGGCTACCTCGATTCGTTTCGTATGTGCAACGCCGTGGTCGTAGCCTGTCTAAGGCTATGCCAAGGAAGGAGCTGCTCAACTTTGCTCGTGATTTCTGCGACCAGAACTTCGTAAGCTTTGAGGATGGATTCTTCAATATGGGCACGTATGAAGAAAAGCGAGCTACGTGGACAATTGCGCGCTCGCTCTCGTTCCATTATCCTGGTGTTGCCGTTCAACAGTTGGGTCTGGGCGTAGTAAAGTTTCAGCGAACGCTGCTGATTGACGAGGTGTATCGCTCGCGCCATGGACCTGACGGTACTCCGTTAATGGAGGTGGAGTTCGTGCTCTCAGCGCTTCAAGTGGTACCGAAGAAATGTGCGTACTACGAAGACGTTCTGATTCTTGAGAACGGCGAAGTGCTGTTCCACGGAACCGGTGAGTCCCTGATCACTTACTTCCACGAACTTGGTTTCGTGTGTGCACCGGAGGTGAACGTGTCCGACTACCTGCTAAACCTGACTGAAGAGCAACAGATCCAACACCAAGTCACAATGATTCAAGGTTTCAACAACCAACGCCAGCTGCGCCGTAGCCGCATGTTCTCCGGATTAATGAAATACTCGGACGATATGGTGCTCATAACTGGTGGACCTGGTGCTGGCATTCCGTCGAGGACAAGTACTCCCGTCGGTAGTCCGGTGCGTAGTGGCTCGACCGCTAGGTTAAGCACGTCATACTCGCCTCTCCGGCGTCAACTGAACGCTCGCGAACCTCTGGGTAGGTCGCCGTACGGATCGCCGACGAGTTCTCCTGCGGGCTTTGCGTCACCGCATTCGACAAGCGCGACGAGGAGCATGAGGATCACCGCCTATTCGCCACCTAAGTCGAAGCAGACGACCAAATCTATGGGCATCTCCGGTGTCGGCTTCGCTTCGCCTCTGCCCACCAAGACAGCTCGCGGTGCCACACAGACAGCCACGTACTCGACGCCTGTGAGAAGCCAGTCGACTACCACAGCGGGCTCAACAACGACCCGCAAGATCACCGTCGAGGGCGACTTCACTGTGATCACGACGGAGCTCACGTCGCCTCATGGTACCAAGCGAGTGTCCACCACACGCCAACCTGGTTCCAGCACCAGTGCTGCCTAAGGAGACCATCTTTTTATATCGAAGCAAGTTTCTACATGACATGAAGTTTGCATGTTCTGCATCTTGAAATAATGCATGTTTATTATTATATTAAAATAAGTTTTTTTTTATTATCAAGCGGCAACAAACGGAACGTATCTGGGGAAGCGCGCTAAGACAACTATGAGCGGTAGCTCGACAATCCGGGCTCGGTCAATATTAGTATTATTGAGAAGAGGCACACGACGAAGAAGGACGATCTACCTGTCCAGCAACATTCTCCAGACTCGAGTCTGGCCCTACCTGACGAAGTTCCAGCTGGAGGATTAAACGACAGACAGACACATTTCTTCGACGAATCTATAAACCACCAAGTACATGTAGTAATTGTTCGTACTCCGTTCATTGTATCAGTCAGAACCACGATTTTTGCATACGAGCCCATTTCCACACACTTAGGGGTCAAACAAACAGGTACATTAATGAGAGCTTATGCAATGACCATCAGCTCGATCCGAAAAGGGACGAGGAGAGGCGGGTCTTTCTTGTTCGTAGCTCTTGTTCTCCAAATGCGAAGTGAGGAGTGGAGGCCACGTGTGTGGTTGGCAGCTTTTGGGGAGTTCACGTACCGGTACTACACCGGTAATACCGGTCACGGGTGGAAAACACAATTCCCTTCCTCCGCTCCGCTCCACTATGGTATACACCTTTCCACACACTTAGGGGTCAAACAAACAGGTACATTAATGAGAGCTTATGCAATGACCATCAGCTCGATCCGAAAAGGGACGAGGAGAGCGGTGCCCCCATTAATGGTCATGCAGTCACCCTCACTAATGCAGTGTTGTGTCCCCCCTTTGTCCAGCCACCATATTTGCTGACAGCGCAGTGACGGACTCCTTGCAGAGTCGAGTGTAGGTCTTGAACGCGTCCGATGCCCATCGGCCGTGAAACTGAATCGTCAGTGCATCCACGCCGGAGCGGTACATATGGGTCGCCCCGCCTGCGCGAAGGGAGTGTGTACTAAAGTGGCGAGGGTTCTTGCCGGTGCGGACGGCAGCACGCTTTATAGCTTGGGACTAATCTTCAGCTGAAACGCAGGCTGGGACTCCTCGGTGTGATATGAACACCGCGGCTGGAATGCTAGCCGGAAGACCTTTCCTTGCTTGAAGAAGTACAAGAGCTCCGAAAACAGGGCAAAGGAAGTGATGGCCAGAGCGTGAGAGCATTCTTGTAGTAGGGGTTCCGCCTTGGTTTGTCTTCGAACCGATCAACCGTATCCACACACCCTGAGCTTGCGATGGATCCTGGGTTGGCCTGCCCGTCGCATCGACAGTTATAATGTCTTCAGCTCGAAGTGCAAACCACTTGAAAGAACCTCCTCGGATTGACACGATCTCCGATCGACGTAGGAGGAAGAAGTACGCCAAGCACATCACCCCCCATAAAGCTTGCTCACGAGGTGTAGCCATCGTCAAGCTGCGAAAGCAGGCTTCCAGAATGTCGAGTGAAACCGGTTCCTTACGAAGCCGCGGTGTATCGAGACGGCTGATACCTTTGAGGAGCATGCGGATGTCTGGGTGTGCGATCGGGAAGTCGTAACCGAAAGCGGCGAAAAAGTGTCGTACGCCTTGAAGAGCCGCTGTAATGGAATCACTACGGATTGGACCGCCGGATCCGAAGCCGAACTGAAAACCGTGGAGAACGAAATCTGAAATATACTGCACTTTTCGATGAATGGAGACGTCGAGAAGATATGGGTGAGCGCCTCTGCGTGAGATCCAACTGGTCCACTTGCCTAGGGATCGACTGTACTGCACAAATGTGGAGTCGGCAACGGAGTGCGCGCGGAGATACACTGCCAGACGCTGGTTAGGCCTTGTATATCCACCGGCGGGGACACCTGCAACCAGCCGGAAGTTAGCGACGTAAAAAGATCCACAAACGACGCGTTAGCGGTAAGTCGGGAGCCAGCATCTGCTCGGACGTTGTCTGCGCCGGGTATGTGGGACGCAGAGAACCGGAGTCGAAAGGTTGATTCCCACCAACTTAGCAGGCGAATAAGAACTTGAGCCCTGGGATTGCGAGATGCCAATTTGTTCTGCCACGCGACGGCAGATGTGTTGTCGATGCGGAAGTGTACGTGCCGCGGCCTCCCAGTAATGCGAGTGTTTGAAGCCCACCTTGCGCCCCATGTATGCACAGCGAAAGCACACGAGAGAAGCTCGCGGAAGTTGATGTCAAAACCGTTGGTCTCTCCGTTGTTGAACGCCGCGATGAGATCACGCTCGGACGGAGTGAATTGGTACGTCAGTGCCTCCTTCGCGGATATGTCAAGTGCGCAGAGACCGAAATCTGAAGCATCCGTTTCAACCATAATGTCCGGAGGCGGAAGTGCGCTGAAATACGCTAGCGAAACGCCGTTCAGGTGAGGGGTGTGCAAAATCATCCACCACCACAGTAGGTCATCCTTCATTGTAGCAGTCACGGGGACGCTCTGGAAGCGGTTGAGCCGAGCCTCGCGGACCCGTAGGCGCTGTAAAAATGGTCTAGCGGCCCGAATACATGTTGCCACATGGCGTAGACTTCCGAGCAGGGACCGGTACCCCTTGCGGGTGAGTGAACTTGCGACGTAGGCGGAAGCTACGATTTTGCGGGCTTTGTCGATTTTCGCTGAAGGCATGGCAACAATTTCTGCGATTGTATCGAACTCGAGTCCTAGAACGCGCCGGCGCGTCTTCCAGGGAGTAAACTTCTCAGTGTTGATAGCATCGACACCCAGGACGGCGACCATGGCAAAACGGAGAGAACGATCCATGTCAACGCATGTGGTGTCAATGTCGGCAGCCACGTTAATGTGATCGTCTACCCAGTGATAGTTGAAGAAGCCACCAGGAGAAACTGCATTCGAATGACCGCCGTGAACATGAGAGATCGCTCCGCCAAATATCTCGTAAAAGCCGGGAGACCCCGTCCATCCGAAAGGTGCTGATAACTCGACGATCAATGCGTTTTCTTCTTTGATAAGACCGGCGAACAAGTACACACTGTTGCTGTGGATGCTGATGTGGCGGAAGGCAGATGCCACGTCACCTGCCATTACACGGACAGCCGCACTTGGAAAATCTTCTTTCGTTTTCAAAATTTCTTGCGCTACGGCATCGCAGTGGGCGTAGTCCGGCTTAGTAATGCTGTTTTGGTCCGTGCAGTCGTTGATCGAAGTACCATCCGGGTAGGATAAGTCGTGGATTGTGCGACCCGACGTGTTGGCATCTTCGCTTCCCTTGTCGACGACGCCGAACGGACTTATAATTACTTCGGGCCACTGCTCAAGCAGATCAATGTCAAGAACCAGGCATCTCCAGGCGTCTTGCTCTTTCCGGATATTCTTGCGCAAAATGTTGACGCGTTCTTGAGCAGAGCCATGATTTGGTGGCCGAACCACTTGTCTGGGTGGAGCCGCCCTTAACTTGACTTCGACTCCTTCACAAGCAATCTTGTTAAGTTAATTTAAGTGCTCGTAACCTTCACACAACTTGTTTAGGACCGCCGGAACGATGTTCTTGTTTGGGCGATAGTCCTCCACTGTTTGGCCTCGAATTAACTCTACGAATGCAAGTAGCGGGAGCGCCGACCGGCGTGCAAGGTCCGATAGAGCGTGCTGCAATGGTTGGTTAAGCAGGTAAACCGGGCCTTCTGCGCTTTCGTGCATCGCAGGGTAGTGTTGTTGGGGCATCTCGATGTTAAAACTGGTCATAACCTTGGTAAGCTCGGCATGCCGAACTTGTTTGTGCAGGTCTCGACGTATCCTTGCGTTGTCATGCGTCTCACTTGCTCTTTGACTTGATATTACAGGGCGAATCGTGCGAGTCCCTTCTCGGTCGACCGGCCTCTCGGTGGTACTAGTACGTACTTCCACAACACTACGAGAGCGATCTGAGTGTATACCAATCAAACCCTGCGGGTGGGTGCGCGAATGCATAGTCGGAGGAGTCAGTATAACCGTGGGTGACTGTGTAGTTGGTCCGGACTGTATAGTCGAAGAGGGCTGTATAGCTGTGGATGACTGTATAGTCGACCCAGACTGTATAGTCGCAGGGTGCTGTATAGCTGTGGATGACTGTATAGTCGGCCCAGACTGTATAGTCATTGGGTGCTGTATAGCAATAGGTGACTGTATGGTCAAAGGACGCTGTATAGCAACAGGTGACTGTATAGTCAAAGGGCGCTGTATGGCTATGGCCGACTGTCTAGACGGATCAGACTGTATAGTCGGAGAGGGATGTATATCCGTAAGGGTCGCCTCGCTTGTGACGAAGCCATCAGTCGCAACGGAAAGCGGAGGCCGCGGACCGGGCAAAGAGGCCACTTGCGGTGGGTTTTGATAGGCAAAATGACCCTCAAACACGCTAATTTCTCGCTCCCGCGCGAAATCGCTCCCCCACCGCTTCGCTCCCACCCTATCCGTCTCCCCGCGCTTCTCGTGCCGAGGAAGTGGCTTTTGCGTTGACGCCTCACTAAACTTGCTCTCAACCATTGTTTCTGCAGAACTTGATCTATTATCCTGCATTAGGTGGTTCTCGTACCGAAAGGATGCCGAGCTGCATTCCTCACGGCCCCATCAGCGACGCTCGCCTGGATTCGCGCGGCGCGACCCGTACGTCTCGTCGACCCACTGCTGTACTCGCGGAGGCAGGCGGTCCGGCCAGTTGTGTGCTCGCTTGTGGTTGCCGCAACGATCGCGGGTGCCTCCAGAACACGGGAGACCTGCCACATTCAGCAAACACGGTTCTTGGCCACGCCAGTTAAGCGAGATAAGACGTCGGATGCCGTCAGGAATCGCAGGTCTTCTAGCTTCGTCGCGTCGCTGGCGTCCGCCGGAGTCACGGGCAACTCTCCCATCGTTGTCTGCTGGTTGGCTGAGAACACTGAGGAGGGCCATCGCCCACAGCGGCGACTGGTAGTCAATGCCTCGCAGCGCCTCGCAGAAGCCCATCCACCACGGCGCATCATCCACTTGAAGATACCCCAGTGCCGTCCCGATGAACTTGTTTGCGTACATCAGTGTCGAACGAACGCGACCAGGAGTGTTGGCAGGATACAGCTTGCTTGTTCTTCGACACAAACGCCCGCAACCTCGACGTCAGCTTGCGCATGTGGTCGTACCACACCTCCTGGCCCAGTGCGTTCAAGCCGTGGATGGCGTCAAGGATATCTTCGTAGGAAGAGCACGTAATAGAGGCCGGAGGGAGCGTTGCTGAAGGACTAAAGTCGCTTGAGAAGTTGGCGTTCGTCGAGCCGTCTTCTAGGCACGCAATTTCGCTGCTCTCCTTGAAGTGCATCACTGTTACGCCACGGGATCCTTAACGCCCGCTGAAAAACGGCCATCAGGACGGCGGGTGTCACTTGGAACCTCACGCAGTCCAGCTCCCGAACACGCAGAACAAAAGACATAAAAAGATGTAACCGTACCTGTCTCCGTACCGAAGTCACGGAACATTCGACTTGCGGCCAACATGTGGGCTTGCGGAGGATTGTAGTCGCCCTTCGCCTTCTTTGAGCCTTCTGGGAAGCTTGCGCTGGTCAGGTAACAGACTTCAGAAGGAGCAGCTCTCCTTTCAAGTTCGGAGCCGTGACGATTGTGCCTGCGGACGCCCCACCCCATTGAGTACTTTCGCTACCGCGGAGCTGCCGCAAGCGTGCAACCTCATCGCGCAAGGAACGAAGCTCGCGCAACAGGTCCACTGGTGCTGCAGGCTGCGGTACGATGGGTGTTGGGTCAGGCTCTTGATGAGAAGGATGGTCAGCAGGACCCTCGGCCAATGCCACACCGCGCCCGGGCTCAAACGACGCCATAAATGTGGACAGGTCGAAGTCTTTCCGGGAGCTCGGGCGAATCTCAGGAGCAGCCGGTGTTGGAGGTTGTACAACTGGTGGAGGGAGCTGCACGATCGGGACAGTATCCCCTGCTGACTTCTTCGCCCTCTTAGGCTTAGGAGTCGCCGCCTTGTCCTCCAGGCCGTGGTCGGACCCGTCTTCAGTGGCGTCGTCACTCTTCGCTCGACTGGTAGTAGCTGCAGGCGACGGGGTCGTGCGCTTGGGCGCCTTCTTCTTTCCCTTGCGGGCCTCGGCCGGCACCGGAGAGGACACGTTGCGGGCGGCAGCTCGCTTGCTCGTGCGAATCGGCGGAGGGTCCGAGGTGCTGCGGGCGGATGTATTGGCCCACGTCTCCTCTCCACCAGTGACGTCGACGACGTCGGCTGCTGGGACGGTAGAGGCGCTGTCCGACGGGGCCGTGGTGGCCCTGGACGATGGCGAGTTGGGTGCGCTGGAAGACATGGTGTAGGATGAACCCCCTTCTTTCTTGTTCGTAGCTCTTGTTCTCCAAATGCGAAGTGAGGAGTGGAGGCCACGTGTGTGGTTGGCAGCTTTCGGGGAGTTCACGTACCGGTACTACACCGGTAATACCGGTCACGGATAATCTCGTGTGGAAAACACAATTCCCTTCCTCCGCTCCGCTCCACTATGGAATACACCTCTCAAGAGCGACTGCTCCCTTCTTTAATACAAGCAGATTCCTATCTTGACCAATCAAACAAACGTGTTGGGTTAATATTTGATATTCAGTCTTCGATCAATTGTTGGCGAGAATGGCTGAACTGAAGGAGCAAGTCGACACGGAGATGGCTCGCTACCGTGCTCTTCAAGACGAAGTTCAGGTGCTGGCGACGCAGCGCCAGACGTATGCGCAGCAGGCGAACGAAAATGATATGGTGAAGAAGGAGCTGGATCTGCTGGACGACGAGGCCAAAGTCTACAAACTGGTTGGCCCCGTGCTGCTCAAGCAGGATGCGGACGAGGCCAAGAGCAATGTGAATAAGCGTCTCGAATTTATCAATAACGAGCTGTAAGTGCCCAGCAGCCAACAGAAGGGTGGACGGAGTATTTAACCGAGTAGTGTATAACCTGTCCAGGAACAAGGTCAATTCAAAGATCGAAGCAAAGGAGAAGGAGGCCGTCGGTATCCGGAACAACGTAGGTGGCTCGAATCCTCTGCAACTACAAGATGGTGCTGACCTACTTACTTTTTCCTAACTTTTGTGTTGTTGACGAGCAGATTTCCAACATGCAGATGGAGATGCAGAAGCGCGCGGCGGAGGCTGCCAAGGGCGCCGTGGCGGCTCATTAGGTCAGCAGATAATGGGAAAAATACGTGCTTTTCTTTTGCTACTACGTAGTATTATACTACTTGGTGTCTGGTTTGCTGTCTGTTCGAAAGAAAGTGTAGTGTCATATGCCTATAGCTCAAGTGCGTCCAGTGAGTGCGGTCGGGCACCGAGCAGTCCTGCAGGTACGATCTCTGCGACTTCCTGTAGAGTGGTGCGAGCCACTGGAGTAGCATGTAGGGTGTGGCGTCCCGCCTCACGAATGCGCACCAGGACGTAGTCGCCCGGAGCAGCATGAACGCTCTCGGATGCAACGCTGGGCAGAGGCAGAAACTCGGAAGCCACCTCGCCTGCCTGTTTCGTGAAGGCGCGCAGCGAACCCGGCATCTTCTGATTGAAGAACACGCAACGCTTGCTAGTGTCCGTGAGACCTGTAAGCTTCGGGTCGTCATCCGTCGAGCGACGGCTCGGACCCTGAACGAGCACAATGTGTAGGCGGTCAGAGTCCTCGATGTGATTCTTGCGCGTCACTACCTCGCTGAAAGTGTCAATCACCTCTCGCAGACGACGAAGCTTTTCTTCTTGAGTAACGTCATCTTCCATGCGGTGTGCTGCGTGAGTACGGGCACGAACGGAATACGCGAACATGAACGCCTGATCGTAGCACACCTGGCGCATCAACGAGATCGTGTCGGCATGTTCTTCCTCCGTCTCGCCACAGAAACCAGCAATAAAATCCGAAGAAATAGCCACACCCGGAATACGAGCTCGCATGTTGTCCACGAGCGCCAGGTAGGCCTCACGTGAGTAGCCACGACGCATTCGTTCCAGCATTGTGGTGCTTCCACTTTGAGCGGGCATGTGGATCTGCTTACAAATGTTTGGACGTTCGTTCACGAGATCCAGCACTTCGTTCGGGAAATCTTTTGGGTGTGGCGACGTAAATCGCAGACGCATCTCTGGATCAACGCGCGAAACTTTATCCAGCAGATCAGCGAAGCGGAAGCCAGGTGCGTCACGTGAGCGGAACATGTTGCTGAAGCCGGTAGACGAAACGTAGCCGCGGCCCTTCTCCGCAGCGCCCTCTGACTTCTTGTCATGATACGAGTTGACGTTCTGACCGAGTAGTACGACTTCCTTGACGCCCTGGTCGCTCAGAGCACGCACCTCGTCAACAATCGAGTTCATAACGCGACTACGTTCGCGACCCCGTGTGAATGGCACAATGCAATACGAGCACATGTTGTTACAGCCACGCATAATTGACACGAAGGCTGAAGGACTGTGTGGGTCTGCGCGCACAGGTGCGATGTCTGCGTACGTCTCGTCCAGCGAGAGCTGCACATTGACGGCGGCCTCTCCACTGCCGAGCACGACGCGCAGCAGATTAGGAATGTCACGATAGGCGTCAGGTCCTACGACGAGGTCCACCATCTTGTCTGAGTCAAGCAGCTTCTTCTTGAGTCGTTCGGCCATGCAGCCCAAAACACCGACAGTCTGTACCTTCTTGTGCTGTAAACGCAGCAGCTTGGCCTTGACTTGTCGGAGCGACTCGAGCCGGTTCCATATTTTTGCTTCTGCATTATCGCGGACGGCGCAGGTATTGAGCAGAACTACATCAGCGGCATCAGCTGCGGGCGCCGAGGTGTAGCCACTTTCCAGCAGAATGGCACGAACGATCTCCGAGTCGGCTGGCAGCCATACGTCTCGATGAAGAAGGAGCGGCGGCACATTGTCTGATTCTCCTCCTCTAACTCCTCCAGGGATCGCACGGTGGTTGGTGCTACTGGAAAGTTCATCTCGCTGGGCTCACTCGCCGCCTCAGCTGTTCGCTGGTGCTCGTTAGTCTGCGATTCGCGCAGGAAGTCTCCCAGACTCGGTCCGTCGCTGGGCAAATTTGAGCTGTGCACCTTCACCTTTTTCGTCTGCGCATGACTACTGCTGCTCTCAAAGCGAACAACGGCGACAGCACGCGAGCAGCGATACACTCGGCGACTAGCAACCAGCATATTCGAGCTTCTGGACCAACAAAAACGGCGTAGCCGAGGTACAAAAATGGTTACAAAAAAATGGTTACAGAAATGGTTACCCTGTGGCGGCAATACGAAAAATGGCCTGGAGCTGTTCGCTTTGCACGTTTGAGAATGAAGAGTCCATCGGTCAATGTGCAATGTGCCTTAACGCGCGGCCACTAACGCCACCGGCGTCTGGCCACAGCGCTAAGAAGGTGAAGACGCCATCGCAATCTCAATCGTCGCTGCTCTTCAGTGTGGGCAGTTCTGCGGAGAAGGAACAGCAGCGCGTCCAGAAGAAGCTGCAGCAGCTTAGAGAACTGGGTATTGATCTTATGGACCATGAAATGATGGCAATGCTGCAGCGCAACTGCTTCAGTGTCCCCGGAGCGGCCTCCGAGTACTTTGAGCGCTTGGCAGACACAGGTGACGCAACCCAGGAGGACGACGAGACCAAACGGAGGCTGGAGAGGACTCTACAGAAACTGGAGAACGTTGATGCAGATGGCGAGAGCTTCAAAGTGCTGGGTAAGACCACAGTGGAGGCGTCAGTCAACCGCCAGGGCGTGAAAGTCCAAGTGGGAGACGAACTACTGCTTTGTGCAGAGAATGCTGGTAAAAAGAGACTGAGACCAGGACTATCGACCGGTTCCGCGGCTTCCGGAATTGTGAGGGTCACGACGTTGCAGCAGTCGCAGATTGGTCGCCTAGAGAGGAAAATGGAGACTTTGCTGCATCCACTACTGAAGAGCAGACTCGTGAGACTCGGAGGAGTGTGCGAGACGCCGCCCGTGTCAGCTCATATGTTTGCGTCGTTTGACGTAAGCGCAGCGATATGCGCTAGGTCCTAGAGTTTGTGCAATATCCTCATTTGTGTGTATTTTGCAGGTAATTGTGTTTGTCTACGTCAGTGTCAAGGCTTTCGAGGTGTTTAACGAAGGCGACGCCAACTTTCACCTCTCGGATCGGCTCTATAATCTGCTGCAGATGATGAATGGAGCTGAAACGCCCTCGCTGGATGCATTAGCATCACGCTCAAGCTCCGACGCGGAGGATCCATCGTCACAGGTGAACCCAGAGGACCTCGACACGCTGTTCTCTGAGTGCATTGGAGCAAATGAGCTTGGTGATGCTGCAGACGGGGCGGGTACCGATTCATCGGAGCATCTTGTGCAGTACCTGAATGCTATCGAGCTACGAGATCATCAGAAACAAGCTCTCAGGTGGATGCTGTGGCGAGAGAACCAGTCGAGGAACGGCGTCAGTGAGCAAGAAAGCAACGACCCTGTAAGTTTCTCTTTGGCTGTTTTTAACACTGTATGTGATTGCTAACCACACTGCTGTTGATTTAGATGTGGGAGGAGCGTCACTTCCACTCTAAGAGCTCGTACTACGTCAACCCATTCGAGAAAAGTGCGTCTTTGACTCGCCCGGAGCCTTCAGCCCCTTGTCTTGGTGGAATTCTTGCAGACGATATGGGAATGGGTAAAACAATGATGATGTTATCGCTTGTTGCCTACCAAAAACACGTCGGCGAAGAGAAAGCTGTCACGGAAAGCGATGACTTACCTGGTCGAGGGATGCGAAAAGCGGCAGGCAAGACTTTGGTGGTTTGTCCTTTAAGCTTGCTACACCAGTGGAAGAATGAAGCACAAGAACGCTTTCTTTCGGACACTCTGAGAGTTCATGTATACTACGGCGAAGATCGTGACCTTGGAACTGGTCTCAAACCAGGAGCTTTGAACAGGAGTGACCTCGTGCTCACCACATATGGAGTCCTATCAGCCGAGTTTGGGAAGAACGGCCTCCTCACGACGACCGAATGGAACCGCGTAATTCTTGACGAAGCTCATAGCATCAAGAACAGGTCAACGGGTTATTTCAAGTCGTGCTCTGGGTTGATGGCAACGCATCGCTGGTGTCTCACTGGAACTCCCATTCAGAATACGCTGGACGATATGTTTTCGCTTCTGTGCTTCCTCCAATACCAGCCTTGGTCTCGCGTTGCATGGTGGAAGAGGGTGATTACGAAGCCGTATGAAGACGGCGACGACGTGAACGCGCTTGGCCGTCTAAAGGCAATTCTAACACCAGTTTTACTGCGCCGGACAAAGCACTCGCGGGACAAACGAGGCAATATGATCGTCAAACTCCCACCGAAGCACATTGACCTGGTAAAGCTCGAGTTCTCTCCTGACGAGCGAGCCTTCTACCAGGCCGTATTCGACAAAAGCAGAGCAGAGTTCAACGGTTTTGTTGCTAGCGGGGCAGCAACGACAAGTTATGTCGCCATTTTCGCGCTTTTGCTGCGTCTTCGTCAAGCTTGCGACCATCCGTTGCTCGCTCTGGGCAAAGATTTCGAACAAGCACTGACGCCAGGCGCATCGACATCGGTTAAGTCGGCTTTCCAGCCTCAGCAAAACGAGAGCTCGGAAGCTTATTACCAGCGAATTGCAGCACAGTTGCAAACGGACATGCAGGCTAGCAGCAACCGCGCACAGCTCATAGAAAACGGCTCGGATGACCAAGAGGGCGCATCGACAGGAGGCTTGACAGCGTCATATATCCAGAGTGTGATCGCACAAGTGGAAGACGGCTTGGACTCTCAAGAGTGCCCGATCTGCTTGGACCCGCCCCAGAATGCTGTACTGACCCCGTGCGCCCACGTCTTGTGCGACCAATGTCTACGCGACAGCCTCGGAAACGACCCCGACAACGGCTGTCCCGTGTGTCGAACTGTGGTGGATACGGCGAAAGTGTTCAAGTTGCCGCCCCCAAAAGCACAGGGTGAAGCCAGCAGCTCAGCCGACACAAAAACCATCATTACGCCTTCTGACGACGACGACGGTACGGGCCTTGAGTCTACTAAACTTCAGCAGCTTTTGCGTGATGTACAAGCCATCAAACTGGAGAACGAGAACGCCGATTCGCCCGACCAGAAGCGCAAAGTTGTGGTCTTTTCACAGTGGACGTCGATGCTTGGCATGGTCTCGCAGCTTCTGACGCGTCATGGGTTTTCCCACTGCTCGTTCAACGGTGGACTAAACCAGGAGGCACGAGAGCGAGTGTTGACCAAATTCGCCAAAGACCCGGACGTGGAGGTTCTGGTTATCAGTCTGAAAGCTGGCGGTGTGGGTCTCAATCTCACGTGTGCGTCAGTGGTGATTCTACTGGATCCGTGGTGGAATCCTGGCGTGGAGGAGCAGGCTGTTGATCGTGTGCATCGTCTGGGTCAGACACAAGATGTGATAGTGAAGCGCTACGTGGTGAACAACACAGTGGAAGATATGATCTTGCAGCTGCAACAGCGGAAGGAAAAACTGGCCAAACACGTGCTCGTGGTAGCCAAGGCCCATGATGAGCGACGCAGCGAGCGACTCAACCTCGATGACCTGCGCAGCTTCTTCCGGTGATGTGTTACGACCACCTAAATGGCTACATTCGATACTTGCTTTGATCATTTCGATACCCTTACACTTGCATTTTGTAAGCTGCTATTTATATCGCTAGGTCGTGACAATTTCAAACGGTCAAATCTCCATCCGGACAGGCCCCGACAAAAGTCCCACAAGATGCTAACGCGGTCGCGCTCCAAGGCGTCCAAGCAGCCAGTCTTCATCGACGACAAGTGGAACGACGCGTACATCCAAACCAAGGACGAGCAGATCGACGCCATGCTGGCGGCCGATTCGACGCAGCGTGGATGGGATGAACTGGAGGAGGAAAACTCGGAGGCGGAGGATGCTGATAGCGAGGATGGGTGGCAATCCGACTCGGATGAGTCGGAAGACAACGACGATGATTGGCTAGAGAGACCCCAGCAGCTTCTCGAGTGGAGCTTCACCCAGCGGTGGGTGGCCGGTGGCGGCATGTTGCACAATGTGATCTGGACTCTCGCAGTCGTGAGCGTGGCTCCTTTGCTGTTGTATGTCTCACTGCCTCGTTGCGACCAGCAACTGTGGCCTTTGCAGAGTCCGAGACTTGCTGGTTCTCTGTCCAAGGCGCTGTTGAATGTGTTAACGCTGGCAATCGCGGGTATGGCGCTGTATGGCGTCTCCTGCACTGTGGAGCCACTGACAGCGAGCGATGTACTGAACTGGAAAGAATTGGAACTAGAGCCGCCTGTGCAGTGTGGAGAGAGATTGCTGCAAGGCGGTAAGGATCTCGTGAAGGAGGCCATTGAAGCGCTATCTGCTGCATCCAACCCCGACGCTCCGTTGAGACGACTGGACGAGGATATTTGGACGCTCGTGAAGAGTTTAGACGCGCCTGTACTACGCGAACTGGCTGTGCTGGCTGTAGGGGCCCTAACGACTCTGACTTGCTTCCATCGCGTGTGGGTCAAGACGTTGGTACTGCTGACTGCTGCGAGTTACGTGGCGTTTAATGTGATGACGGAGGTGAAGATGCAGCAACGTGCGGCGGTTGAGATCTTCTCGCTTGATCCTACCTTCGCCTTTGTCAACGAGAGCATCTTTGTAAGTACTGATTGCGCTTGTAGTATTGTGGGCTTTTCTAACTGGTACAGTGATGTGAACTATGTACTGTAGGTGGCAATTGACGGCCAGAACCTGGAAGAAGGCGGATCGGTGGCCTGGGCTCCTTACTGGGGAGGTGTACAGCAACAGCAGGCTCAATCTTGCCCTAAGCGTTTCCCACAGCAAATCAGCAATGGCGGCGTGCTTGTCACTTTTGGCCAAGTGAACGAATTCGTCCCGTGCTATCTCGGTGCGAAGGAAACTTCCTCTGCAGTTATCGTGGACGGCGAGATCCAGCCATCTGAAGCTTTTCAGTGCTTTGAGAGCATTCGACTGCGAGTAAAGGACCCAAAGAGCGTCCCTGGCTGGTCACTGCACCAGCATCAGCAAGAAGGAGAGCCGTTCCCAACGGAGAAGCATGAGCTGTGATCTTGAAGCGCTTGTCCAGAAAGTAATTAGCCACTGACAGCAGCTTTGTGACGACGAGCTGAACGTTATCGTGCTTTGAAAAGATTTATGAAGAGCTACGCGTGTACTGTAGTAAACCAAAGTCCTTCGTTTATTGTGTCATTTGCTAAGATACCGCGACGCTACATATACATGTTTGGTGCGTTGTGCCTTACGCGGTGTGCTCCTCACGTCGATTGTTTCAGCTTCGCCCTCTTCCAATTGTCGCTTGATGATCGGCGTTTCTGTCCGTTTAACAAGTCGATTCTCCCTACCAGCACCTCCCTCTGACGAACGACTGTGAACTACTGGTACAGACGTTACAGAGACAAGACTCTTGGCTTTGCGTGTTGCCATTCTCTCCATCGCCAGCTTTGCTTTCTCGTACTCAGCGCGAAGTTTCGTATTCTCCGCCTCCAGTTGCTTCTGTGACGTTAGCAGTCGCTTGGTGGCTCCAAGCTTCAGCTTCAGTTGCCCTAATGTCGTTGTGAGGACGTCGCGCTTGTTGGTCTCCTGTACTATCAGCGCCTTGAGCATGGTCGGCTCGACGCTTTCCGATTGTTCGGCTGCTGTTTCCTTATTTCCCTCTTGGACTTGCAGCAACTGCGCCAGTTCGACGTGGAATGCCTCCATACGCGCCAGTTCCTTCTTGTAGTTTTCAGCTTCTTCCTGTAAAAACTTTTCCCGACAGCTCCATGTCTCCTCTTGCGCTTGCAACATTTTCTGGGACTCGTCCGTCAACCTCTTTTCCATTTCCTCCACTGCCTGTTTCTTCTTAGCCAGCTCCTCCGCCATTCTCTTCTGCTGCCGCATCAATTCCTCCTCCAGCGCTGGTACGGCCTGCTCTTTCTCCGCCAACACGCCTTCAAGTTCCTCAAGCTTCATCCTCAAGCTTTCGTTCTCCGCCTCGGCCTGAATCGCCCTCTGCGTGCTCTCCACTGCAATTAACTTGGCCGATTCCAAGCGCACACGCAGCGTGGCATGACCCTCCATCAGCTGCACAAGTCTTTGCTTCGTCGTCGCCTCCTTCTCCTTCGTATCTCTCAACTCGGTCTCCACTTTGGCCGCCTCTTCCTGTCTGGCATGGACCTCTCCTCTCAGTGCTGCAGCCTGCTCCTCTGCCTTCTGTAGCTGATCCTGTAGCTTCCAAACATCATCTCGCGTCGATCCTTCCTGCTGCTTCATTTGTGTCTCGAAATGGTGCCGCGTGGCTTCCAACTGCGCCCTCAGTTCGTGGGCCTGCATTTCCCTGGCTTTCGCTTCATGTTCTTTCTCATCTCTCTGCTTATGCACCTGCTGCTTCTCCTCTACGAGCGTATCCAACCTATTTGCCAGCGTTACTTCTCTCTGCTTGGCTGCCTCTAATTGTCGCTGCAGTTCGTCATTTCGTTCCTTCTCGTCCGAAGCGAATTGCTCTGCCGCCTGTTGCGCGTCTTGCGCCTCCCTCGTCTGCGCCTTACTGAGCTTCCAGGCTTCATCCAGTCGCATAAGTCCTTGCATGACCTTCTGATACTTGAGATCTAGTGCCTGCATGTCCATCTCACGTGCTTTGAGTGTCTGCTGCGCCTCACTCAGCGCTGTTTGAAGCGCAAAGGCTTCGGCCTCCAGCTCCGCTGCTGTCGTATCTCCGCCCACGCGCAGCCGCAAGCGCTCTCGTAAATGCGCCGTCTCAATCTTCATGTCCATGAGCTCGCGTGCCATGCGCTCCGCCGCCTGCTGCTCCGAGCGCAGCCCCGAGCCGCGCTCCGTCATCGCTGATATATTTTAGACTGACTTTGAGCAGGCGCGAGATTTGAATTTGAACAATTATGTTTGCTACATCAAAAGTGTAAGGGGGGCAAATCCAGCTTGTTTGAAAATAAGCTAGAGCTGTAGAACAGTCGTTTTGTTAAGTAAAATAAAGATAAAATAAGTGATCGTCGCAAAGCTGGTTGAGACATTCCAGCTACAATTACAGCTGGTTTTAGCTTAGACCTAAAGTTGCTTTGGTTTGTGCGTTTTTACGCGAATTGCACCATGTTGTGCTGCACTAGCAGCCGCAGCTTTGGCCCCAGTATGGGGTCATGCGCAAGTCGTTGCAGCCCTCCTGGTAAATCTTTACAGGCTTGAAGGCGCTGCATAAGATTCCCGTCCGAAAGCGCCGCCAGTAGCTCCGGATTCTTCAAGATATGCTGCACTTGCTCTTCTTCTTCAGGTGCACGCCGCATCCCGGCAATGGCCTGGCGTCGCGTCTCGTCTAGATCAACTATCGCTGGTCTATTTGGATCACCCGACTTCAGTTTGTTGTTCATTCGGAGACCTTCCAAAGGTTGCGAGTCTTGTTGTGGTTGTGGGGCGGGTTTCTTTTGAGAAGACGCAGCCTCCGCCGAAGCGCCAAGCTACGTAAGCACGCCACCCACGTCGGTGCGCTGTCAGCCTTCACTCGACCAGATAAAATATATTTTCGGGTACAAAAACAAACACACCTCTTCGAAATGGTTTCCAAGGAACTCTATGAAGTCTCGCAGCATGGCGGACACGGCGGAATCTTTCTGGTACTTCAATATGGCGGCGGCAGGGTCTTGCTGTATCTCACTAATTGCCTTCGAGAACGATGGGTTTTGCAGTGCTGGCACGAGCAGCATCAACGGGTCAGCCTATATGTTAAACGTACTGGTGGTGCAGATTGTTTACCTACCCTGAGCAAGTTTCGGGTTGTGCGCGAGTTTCTCGAGGAAGCGCTCGTTCATCCACTCTACAATGTGAGCGATAAGAGTTTCGTTATACGCAACTATGGTGAGCAGGATGTTTCCAACCTTTAGGATCGAGCTGGCTCATGCTTTTCATCGCCTCCTGCACTTCCGGGAAGACGAAAGACGAGTCTTCTGTCGCAGGTTCCTCTCTCCTTTGACTTACGATCAGCAGATGTTCATCTCGCTGCATAGATCCGCAAAAAGCCTCTTTAGTGGTCACTAAACAGAAATTTCTAAATTAACGCTTCAAGACACGCACCGACTGCTGTCCAGCTGGTTCCAGGGTTGTTGTGCTCTTTTCTAGTGTCACCTTTTTCCTTTTCGTTGTCGTAATGGATGTGTTGAGGAAGCCCTTCTTTAGTCCCTGGCCAAAAGTTTTGCGGTTGCGTTGTTGTTCCTGTTGCTTCCATTTGCCTTCCTTGGCTCGCTGAGCAATCACCACCATCTCGTCCATGATACTTGCGTCTTGATCTTTTGTTGCATGCTCCACTTGATTGCCCTCAGCGGGAGCTCCGGCCTCTCCCAACATCGGTGGCTCGTCATACTCCCAGTCTTCGTGGTTGATATCTGTCATTATTGTCGTATATTGCGAAGCGTCGCCTTCAAAGAATTCCTATTTTTCAAATAAGCTCCTACGTCAAACACATGTAATACAGTACTGCATCCCGTTTTCGCGGAAGTGGACCATATCGGATTTGCAAATAAATCATATTTTGAGCTAATAAGAAATAGTTCTTTTGCATTCAGGATCATCACATCCAGAGGTTTATCAAAGGTCCAAGGCCGCGAAAACGGGGTGCTGTACTGTAACTAGATCGTCTGATCGTTTTTCCCCTCTTTAAGTTTGCGCTACACACCGCGCCCCATTACATCACCCACTCTCCAATCTGCGAAGCAGTGGGTACACTAATTACCCGAGGCAGAGTATAATCTACGGAAGGACTGGTTCAAGTCACAAGTACTTGTGAAGACAGGATGAAGCCGCCTAGGCCTCCTCCCCCCGACCGGGGACGAGACAACAACGCTCCCCACAATAAACAAGTGACGGGTGCAGTGAGCGCAACGAAAGGCAAGGCGGAAGCGGGCGAAGCAGGAGGAGAAGGGAGGCAAGCAGCAAAGGAAAAAGAAAAAATCGAAAAAAAATCAGAAGATCAAAGGGTCGGAGATGAAGAGGCGCCGGCACAATGGTCGCAGGACTCGATCGTTCCAAAGACGCAGCAGTCGCAAGATGAGGATGAGGACATGATCGAGCACGTTGGGGAGGAAGTGCAGACGGTGAACCGGAACCCAATCGCACATCTAGAGCCAAATGAGACGGAGGCCGAAGATAACGGAGGAGATAATACTAGAAGTCAGACGGAAACACGATCCGGATCAGGGGCAGAGGACAATCGAAGTCGCCACTCTAATATCACAGAAGTGAACCGAGAAGCCTCAGAGCAATCGAACGCATATCCCGTCGAAAGGGAAGGGGTACAAGAGCCACAACGTGATGAGGTTGCAGATTCAGAGCTGGGGGCCCAGGAGGGAGCCGCAGACACCCTGCCCATCCTAGAAGAAGTGAGCACGGTTGAGCCTGAAGAGATGTTTAGTGCGATGGTGACGATCATCAGGGCAAACTCAGGAGAGCAACCTAGAGAGGAGTGGGTCACCTCTATTGCTGAACTCTATGCGATCTTTACCGTACAGTCAGTATCGAGGAAGACATTGTGCCGCCCAATAAGAAGAGATACCCAAAACTGCGAGGAGATGAGAGAGCATTGCTCTATAACCTGTTTCGTGAGCTCAATGTTGTAGACCATGGAACATTTGCAACCTGGAAAAAAATGCATCGTGGCAGTGACCCAAGACTTGCTAAACACCCGCTGGACATTCAAGAACATTATGTACAACAGGATTAGTCAGGCCCGGTGGGCACGAACTCCCCCACTCAATCAGTGGGCGGAAAAGGTGAAAACAGGCACATCAACAGCGGGGTCCAACTCATCTAGGGGCCCAGCAACAGGCGGACAGGGCGGTCACTACGACTCCTTCATGTTTAGCCCCGCGTGTTTCTCAAAACCGGAAATCGTCAAGCTACATGCGCTATGTGAACAAGCTCACGCCAATCACGGAAATTGTCAGCTAAGAGAGGCATCAGCAGACGAGTGAAAAGTGATAATAGGCATAGCAGAGGGCACCATAGCATGCAGGCGGATGCCAGACTTCCTAAACAGCGTGTTTGATTCTCAAGAGCGACTTCGGCTTCACACCACCATTCAGCAACAAGTGGAAGGCGAGTTAGTACTACAATTGAGGGGAAGAGCAAGAGTGAGACAGAGCCGGCAGCAGACTCGGCTGATTAAGGAAGACATCTTGCTAGATGCAGCCAAAGCTCGAGTTAATGTGCACGAGTTGCAACACATGCTCAATCTAGCCAAGACGATAGCGTACAATGATATCAAAAGAAGCATTCACATCTTCTTTTTCGACCGACCAACAGCCGCCAAGTTCCAAGGTATGCAGGTTCCATTCAGAGGCATCATGTATTCCTTAACGAACATGCACCGACCGGATACGGGATCAGTCTGGGATCGTCAGATGAACAGTGATGGGGTTCGCAGAACAGCACAGAGGGAATACGAAGTGGAGATCCACAACTTGACAAGGTTCACGGATATTGGCCGGCTCACAGCATTCCTGACCAAGCACCTAGCCGTGGCCTTTGAGCTGGTGAATATGGACTCGTTCACGCCAAATTCAATGCGGACTACAGCATGGACGATGCGGATTAAATCAGCGGAATGCCCGGAATATCTTAGGGGAATCGTGCGAATTATATTGTTTGGCAGAACTCTTATATTGAAGCATCTGTACGCCTTAAAACAATTACAATGTTTTTGCTGTGGAAACCTCGGACACATCATGGCGCGCTGTCAGTTGTCAGAAGACGCGCTCAAAGGGGAAGGAAGTCGAGTGGCTGACGACTTGCAAGTAGCGAGTCTGGACAGCCTGGCCAAATTGTTTGCCAACAGAGAGGATATGAAGCGAAGCATGCAAGAATGATTAAAGGTCAAGGAGGAGGCATATCGCCAGAAAGAAGCAGCCCTTACACCAGTAGCTCCGCCCAAACTAGAAGTACGTCGCACACAGCAGGAGGGAGGGCCAGAAGCTAGGAGCTCTCCCCCAGAGACTCCCGTGACAAACCTCTCAGGCGCAAGTGCACCAGCGGAACGCCAACCGGGGAACCACTGGATACAAGTGCCCTTGGCGAAGGGCAGAACGCTCTACGCACACCCAGTCACGTTACAGCGCAAGGGGGTGAAAGTCTCAACACACTACTCGGAACTGTATGATGCAGATGACGAGGAGCCCGAACCGGAGAGTAAGTCGGAGGAAAATCCACCGGTCCAGGACGTGGTCGAGCTTTCATCCGGTAGTGAGCAAGAAACAAAATGGAAACCAGCCATCACAGCAGCGGAAAAGGCCAAACTGCACCTAGTGAAGACAAAACTACCGAAGTTGCCGGACACATCGCAACTCATTGCTTTAAAACAGCGTCAGCGTGGAGTGATTGAAAGTATCATTCACGCCTTAGGTGACTGTCACGTGCATCCATGGCCGGTATCAGATCAATCCTTGAAGGATGTCACGACGTTCAAACAGATGGAGAAGCAATTGGGAATGAAAGAAGTCTCGACTCCAGCGTCAGGGAATTGCATGACGATGACGATAGCACAGACCAAAGCCTCGCCGCTAAACCCCATGTGATGGAGAAGATGACAGCGGCGATCAAACGAGGGATATGTTGGGCTGGCCAACTCAACTGCATGGAGCAATTTGATCACTTTACCCGCACTACAACATTAGTTAATATGGGGAGAGGATGGGACGGTATGGATCCCAAGGAATCGAGCAAGCAATTTCGGTGGTATTTGCAAGAGTATGCGGCCTCGCCATCAAAGATACATGACATTGTGCCGAGGCACAATTGGGGGTCTAGTGAGTTGATGGCGATAGCGGCGAATTTTCTCCGCCGACGCATCTTTGTAGTGGCATTTGACACAGACGACAAAAATCTCTGGTACTGCTCAGAATACAGGCCGAGCAGTATGACCAGAGGAAGGAAAATATTCGAGACGGGACAACAAATTCCGCTTCAGATCCATGAGTGTCTTCAACGGATACGCCAAGCTAAACTTGATGAATCCCGGCAGACCACTTGTTCTACGTTTCTGGGGCAGACACTACTCAGCATTCATTCACTCGGCACCTCTAACAACACCGGTCATGGCAGGATCCTGAAAAACGAGCAGTCCCATTAGAAGGGGATGATGATGTCGATATGGCAGGAGACTACAGTCAAGCACTTTCCACTGACAACGAGCTGCATAACAGGGAGGACCCATGGGATCCGACGACCTGGGCGGGGGACGTCGATGAACTCCGCCGCAGACTCATGGGGCTATCGATCCCGCATGACTTGAAATGTGAAATTCACGAAATACTCCAGCAGGCAGCGCCGGACAGACATGCTGAATTGTTAACATTTCTAGTGAATACAGCATCACAACTAACATTTGCCGAAAGGGAGATGTTGGTTCAAGCGAACCTATCCAACGAGCATAATTCCGCCACCAGACAGCTCCTCCAGAAGTACCAAATCGCCAGAGCGGTGTTGCAACAATGGAAGTCAACGGTTCAGCCAGCTCATAAGGACGACGCTATGCGAGATAGTATAGGAGATGGAAAAGTGGAGGACGAAGCGTCGTCTGCTTATGCGCCATCCTCGGAGGGCAGCCAGAGCAGCACGCAATCAGACGTAATTTTACGCCGGCAAAAACATCCCCCACCCAAGGCACTGGCTTCAACAGTGTACAGAGTCCCCCGTTGGATAGGTTGGGCGGTCAGCGAAGCGCTAAGCCGGAAAGGCCCGCATTACGAGATTTGGTAAGTCACCTTAACTTGGAAGATGCTGTGACGCTAGAAGGAGAGGCAGCAGCAGATGACGAGGACATTGATCCAACTGAGTATTTCACGTACTGGGGAGCAGAATGTGCGAGTCGGATAGACCGTTTCTATGTTCCTACCGCATGGACTAATCGAGTACATTGGGTGGAAGTTCGGAAACCAGCTGCGCCATCGGATCATCAGTGTGTATGCTTACACTTACGAAATGAAGTGCAGTCCGAAAAAAGACAGCTCTCTAATAGGAAGGTAACCTATCCGATTCGGTCCTCACAGCCAGCGCGAGTACATGCGGAGCTTATGGAAGACCTCATCGCAAGCGGCGTTGGAAAACAGGTAACGAGCAGAACCTGGGATCGTACGGCGGACGAATGTGTTCACAGTATCAAAAGAGTGCAGCGTAGTGAGCGGAGAAGAAGAGAGCGAGCAAAACACCGCGTAAACGCTCAGAACAGAGCGCATTTACTCACCAGGAGAGAGCTCTTGCGGGTCACAGAGGAAGAGGCCAAAGAAAAATATGAGATCAGGCTGGGACAGAAGTTAGAGCGTACAATTGAGCAACTGCGCTGGAATTTCAAGCGAGTATCCAACTGGGAAAAAGATCAAAACCATCACCGACATTCAGCACAATCATGGAGAACAGTTTCACCGCACCATGACTGTAGCGGACAAATTTGGGTCAGAATGGAAACCAACTCTTGGCCATGTGCACAGTCAAGTTCCGATGGAGCATTTAGAAGGCGCGTTTGATACCTTTGTGAACATACCAGCGGAGAGACAAGTGACGCCAGAACAAAATGCATTCCTGACAGCAGAGATAACCGAGGAGGAGGTACTGACGGCAATCACAGCTCTCAACAGACACAAGGCAGCAGGACCGGATGGGTTGAACAATGACTTCTTCAAAGACGCCCAACCTGTACTTGTACCGGCAATAGTAGCACTAGGAAATGAATTGCTTAAAGGTGCAGAGCCGCCTCCTTCATTCCTTGAAGGACTCATCATCCGCTGCGAAAGAAAGGAGATTCAACAGACGCGATGGACTTTCGACCGATATCCTTGCTGCAGACCGGATACAAAGTATTCATGAAAGTCATAGCCGCCAGGATGCAAACAGTATTAGGGAAACCTATTGGGGATTCCCAACAAGGTTTCGTGCACGGCCGTCAAATGATGAAGACGGTCATGATGATGTTGGCTATTATTGACACAGCGAAGAGCGAACCGGATCTAGCAGCACGGCTAAGCAAGGTCATTCTCCTGCTGGACTTTCGGAAGGCTTATAACACAGTTTCTCGAGAATTTCTTTTTCTAGCGGTGCTCAGATTTGGATTCTCGACAAACTTCGTTAATTGGCTACGACGGCTTCACGACGGAACCTCAGCGAGGTTCTTGGTAAATGGAGAGCTATCGCGGGCTCAATCGGTAGTGTCAGGTATTTGCCAAGGCTGTCCAGTAGCGCCTCTACTTTTCATTATAGCAGCGGAGGTGCTCGCACTGGCCATACAGCAAGATTCAGCATTAGAAGGTATTGAAGTACCAGGAACAGGGGGGCAGCGGCACCTATTCTCAGCCTTCGTAGATGACTCTACAGTCTTCCTACAACAAGCTCAACAGATTCCCCGAGTAATGCATATCGTGGACCAATTTGGCAAATTGTCTGGCCTGCAAGTTCAACCAGCAAAAAGTCAACTTATTTTCCTCAACAAGGCGGTGGACATGCTCCAGTTTAACGGACTACCCGTATTGAAGCATGGAGACACGGTGCGGTACCTGGGTTATCAAGTAGGAACTGGAGCTTTAACAGAAGTGAACTGGGCAACTCGTATCCGTAACATTCAACGACGACTAGCCACAGCTACCAAGTTAGCGACTAGTGTGGCTCATCGAGTGTTGATCTTGAACGTCATCATGATGCCGTCCGTGCTGTTCACAGCGGCAGCATTCGAGATGCCCCTATGGGCTGAAACCCAGATCCGGAATATCCAAAAGCAATTCTTGTGGAGACATAGTACTGCAACGGATAAAAGTCGTCATTAACTCAACCCGGGACTTGTATTTACACCGAAGCAAGCGGGGGGATTGGGTCTGGTATCGATCCCGATAGCATGTAAAACTCAGCGCGATTCTGTGGCTAGTACAGCGGAAGGACACCTACTGGTACGCCTGGAAGGAGTGGGTATTCAGGGGAACGAGCGAAGAGTGGGGTGAAGTAATCTCACCTACCCAAGTGACCGCACGAGAGACTAGCACACTCACAGGGAGGCCAGGTGAACGCATACAGCAACTAATCAGTAGTTGGATGCAGCCCGCGGAGGAACTCACAGCGGACTCCATCCTGGCGTACCAGAAGAACATCGATAGACTGGAAGCGGAATCATTAAGTTGGACGGTAGCGACGAGATGGATCATAGAGTTACCAATTAAGCTGGAAACACCGTGGCGAGCGATGACAACCGATGAAGCCATATTCTGGCCAGCCTTCAACTGGAATGCCAATCCGTGGATTCTGGATAAAAGAGGTAACACCCTGAGTCGGAAGAAATTCGACAGGATACAAAGTTGCACGGTGGAAGCACTACATATCACACGTACCACTGACACTACCTACGAGTTCTCAATTCCCGTTGAGGGAGAAGCGAAATATCAACAAGCAAAGCTGCGCAGGTGGGGTCTAGCTATCCTACTTAGTGCGCCATCGATCGCAGTTGGGGCAGTACTACAGGTGACGAACAAACTTACACTGCGGCATCCACCCACGCTCGTGAAGGGCTTTATCTGGTATATCTTGCAGGATGGAAGAGCACGAGGATCGAGGCCTCCTGGTACAGAAGCCGAAACAACAACAATCACGTTGGAGCAGATGCCCAATGGCATAACATGGATACCAGTAACATCAAGTCCAGCGGAGACCCAGCCACAGGAGGAATAGAGAGAGCTAGAACGATTAGGAGAGACTGGTTGTTTAGCCTTCTTCGCGCACCCAAGGATTCACAGTTTCCCATGGACTGTTAAACCCAGCGTCGCAAACAAACATGTACTGGCAGTGTTGAAAATGCAACCCTTTAAGAAGTTCAGAGGAGACACTGGCCAACTACGAGGGCACGTACAGCGCCTCCAAGAAATAGTAGCAGCGAGCAGGTGGCAAAAGGCAGCAATGTAGCAAACGCCGACGCAAGCATGGTCCCACAAACACCAACTCACTGAATACCAGGTATGGGTGAGTTATCGTGTAGCAGTCCGGCAGCTTAACTTGTATCATGAAGGCCGTCGTCAAGACAACAGTTGGCCAAAGCTACAAGCATGTAAGGGGACAAAGGATACAATAGAACATATCTTCTGGGAGTGTCCGTGCGCACAAGCCTGCTGGAGCAAGCTCCTACAGCATTGGACAGGGGAATGCTGGCAACCAGGGTATATTGAAAGGTTTCAGATGCAATGCGCTAACCGCAAGGCACCGCAGATATCACAACACGTCCAGAAGCAATTGTGGCTTCAATTCCCAGATGCGGCGAAGGAGACAACGGCCATCTGGTTGAGAATATGGGAGATATTCTGTAGCATTTGTCTCACAAGCTTATGGATACAGAGAAACCGAGTAGTCTTCCAACAAGATAAGACCACAGAGGAAGCAAGTAGCCTGGCGTTTTGGGCGACAGCCACGAGACAACTACAAGCACTGGGGAAGCGAGAAAGCCGCAGTCCCGAATCTCAAGAGGAAGGAACGCAATTGCTGTTATGCTTACGGGTACTAACAACAATACCAAGAGAGCATCCCAGTCCTGGGGTGAGCCTCGTACAACCACCGGACCAACAGGCACCGGCGTTGCTAACCAGGCTTAGCCAATATCAGACATCTAGTCGTCTATAAGACTCAATAGAATAGTCTGACTCTCTCTCTCATTACATCACCCACCCACGTCAATGTTTTGAGTTAGATAGAGCGTCCTATTTAGATAGATCGTTCCTGATATCACACATAAGAGAACTTTAGTAAAACAAGGCTTGGAATAACGAGTATCTGGATAAAAGCTGAGAATAAATGACGGATAGATTACCGATCGATATTCCTTTACTTTATTCCAGTGGAATAACGCGACCGTTCGCTATTCCACTGGAATATATTGCTGGACAAAGAAAGTTATTCCAGAAACAAAAGCTGACCACATGTGCTTACGATTGCGTTTTTGCAGTTTACTGCCTATTCATAGTCAAACAATTGATTATGGCACTGCGACACACCTTCGTTTACTGCACTCAAGTACGATGTTCTTTTAATGATATGTCTAGTGCACATGAACGAAACAGCATTGCAGGGGGTGGGAGGGGGTGTCCGACGGGCGAGGCCGATTGTGGCTGATGGTGACAACCTAACGGACACTGGGGCTCCGAATTAGATTCTGTACCTATTGGCTTGTACATATATATTATACCCAACATGTAGCCCTTTTCGAACTCCCATGAGCCTAGAAATCCAATCTGTTCTTATTGCGCTTATTTTCCATACAATAGTGCAAAACTACCGACACCTTTAGTATAGGCCATAATAATCCTCAGCGATGATAGTCTGCTTCGTAAAAAAGTCACCAGCACGGAGCTAAATGCTAATACAAAGTAATGAGAGGCGTCCTCACTGGTTTCGTAGTGTTAAATAGTGATTGTGGTGTAGCGGGATTAGCAAAATCGGCGAGATTGCTGGATCCAACTTACCAACAGCGCCCAGACACCGACTAACGGAGGTCACCCGATGATCCGTGATCTGCTGAGCTTTGCTCACCTTGTGTACTCGTCGGTAAGGCGGGATCTTGCTCTCTCGGTAACTTCCGAAGCGTTCAAGTGGTGAAGTTTGAATGTTTTGGCGATACGTGGGGATGGGGTGGAGCAGTAGTGGTAAGATCTTCACTCTGCGTATGTAGTTGTTTCTGAAACCCAAGCGAATATTCGAGCTTGGTGGATCCAGGGTCTAGATCTGGGATCTGGCCGTATGGTTGCCTTGCGGGGGTGCTCCCTTGCCTTTGTTTTCCTTTGCGTCGTACTTGCCGCTTCCTGTAGCGGGATCTTGAGAGCTGAGAGCTTCTTAGGTATACCCGGCCAAGTAGTAAATCCGGTTAGCCTTTCGGATCCGCACGTGTAAAAAAAGTTCACTATGTGGTAGGATCTGGCCAATGTATTATCCAGTTATCACTACCAGCACTAGATTCAAAGTTCCCAACCTTCTCCGACCAATGCAGTTCCGATTCTTGAGGGCAGGAAGGCACTTGTATGATACTGTGCAAATTGAGGTCTGTATTGATAATTAAGCCTATACCTGCCTGGATTCCTACCTTCTATATCTTTTATCTGCTAAATCCCTTACGAGGCTCGGCTGCATGTCCTTTTTCTTCTTGACCCATCGTCCCAGCTGTGTTTTTATCAGATCCACCGGATCCATGTCGTAATCATTATGGTCGTCACATCATGGGTACACTTGTTCGGATCCAGGTCCATCACTGAAGCTGTATCAGAATCAGGTCCACCGGATCTATGGCGTAATCATCGCGAGGTCACCAAATTATGGGTACACTGTCCCGGATCCAAGTCATTTTAACCCACATTACTGCAAGTGTACACTTCATCGTGGATCAAAGCCCTCCGATCATTCAACACCACATCACGAATGTCTGTGGTCTCCATCGCTCCCCGGAAGCGCGAGATCCGTAGGATCCACCACCCCTATACCATAGATCCCAGTCACTCTGTGTGGGATCCTCAATCCCTTGGATCCGGACTTGGGAAAATAGGATCTGGGACATCTAGCTGTGAATCTTTTCTTCTCGTCCGTTGTTAGTATTATATCCACCTTCAGATGGCGTCTATAGCTCTCTGTGGTGTTGCAATTCTCACGTCAACTCTAGCTACAAATGTAGTTAGGACGTTCCCACAACAATACGTCTACTAGAATAGTAAATGATCGTTCCGGCGGACCTGAAGACCCCAGTTCTGCCCTTGCACCGGGACAGACTGGACCTTGTAAGCTACTTATATAGGCCAACCAGTAAAAATAAGAACACGCTACTAGCACAAGCAAAACTAATAGGTGTTTTGAATCCTCGTGGTCCCAACAGCGGAAGGGTACCAGGCACGGGTAAGCCTTTTACGAGGGCACCGAGCGTTCAACACTCGGTTGGAAGAATAAAACGGATGCAAAACAAGCACTCCCAGTCGTGCAAATAGGCAACAAGAAGCCGTCACGTAAAACCTTCCCGATAGTAATTGGCCAAAACACACAGTCTCTTGGCCTTGCCGGATGAACCATGGCCACAGCGCTTCGAGCTCACCGACAGGCATAACACACTCAAACAAGCTTGACCAGACGCTTACCTTGAAGCCGGACGTTGCTCTGTGTGCTTAAGTGGAAAATCGGTTCTGTATTTATGTTTATACTTTCGGGTTTATTCCTAATAAGAAGTCCTAATCAAGTATACATATATCAAGTGAACAATCACTTATGGTTCTTCTTGCACGCCAAGCGTCGTCTGCACCGTCGTATGAGCATCTTTAACGGCTCGCGCCCTGTTCCAGGCGATGAGCCTGCCTTCAAAGAGTCGCTGAGTCTTCTGCGAACTCATCCCAACGCCACCGAGGGTTCGTACCGTAGATGGTCATTTCTTGACCGCTGAATGCAAATCCGGCCAGTTCATTATTAATAATAAGGACAGCCTAGATTGAGTAACATCTGGACCGTATCCAATATCCGTTGAGAGCTCGGTAGTGACGCCGTCGAGTCTCTTGCACCTTGGAGTCACCGTACTTCACGTGACCGAGGATTCGTCGCTTGAACATCTTGGGCGGTGCCGCATCTTTGTCGTCGGGCGATTATCCGCAACTCTGGAGAAATCACTACACCACAACCGCCCCTGTCGCAATGGAAGCCACGGTACTGGTGCCCGTTGTGACATTTCTTCATTCTTCAATTCACCATCCAGTCGCAGCATGTCCAAGCGTTTGAATCGAGCCGTGACCAACGCGCTTCAGCGTCTTAATCCTCGCCGACGACGTGAACGTGAACAGCTGGAGGTACGTCAGCTCATCTTCCATTTAAATCATCGGCACCTTGCTCATCACCATGCATTATTCGTCTTATTTCTCAGGAGGGCGACACCAAGGTTTCGAACAACCTTCAGCCTGCTACACTTCCTTCGACGGCAACGTCGTCAGCTGGACCTCTGGTGTTTCCTACCCCGGACGCTTCACCTCCTGCTGCAGCTTCTGCGGCACTTCCTGTCGTCGCTGAATCCACCTAGATTGCTCTTGCAGGTCCATCTGCGCCTGCTGGTGGACCTCCACCACTCACCGACGATTCGTTCCGCGCTATGCTGGCTGAGAGTACGGAAGCGTCGGTTTATCATATGATGACATCGATTATTCCGTACTTGACTGCGATGGCTCGTCATCAAGTGCAGCTCCACGTTGCGTCTCCTCTTCACGTCCATTCCCAACGTCGCATCGAGACTGCCATGGGCTTTGGCAAAATCCTCGCCGCCCTACAGCCTCTCACTGATGCGCTGCCGGCATTGCCCGACCGAGTTGTCAACCTGGAGCGTCAGTTGCGGGCTGCCAGACCGAGGCTGCTGCCGCCGTACGTTTGGTGGCACCCGAAATCATGGCTCGGGTGAACGCGGAGGCGTACCTGAAGGCTGCTGCCAACGCCGAAGTCGAAGCTATTCGCAAGGACGTCAAGACTCTCCACGAGTCCAACGTCAAGAACGATGCCATGCTCGCGAGTGTTCAGTCTTCCATGGAGCAACCGATATATGTTTACAAATATCAAGTGAACTATGATTCGTTATGGATCTTCTTGCACGCTAAGCGTCGTCTGCACCGTCGCCCGCGCATCTTTAACAGCCGCGCCCTTTCCTAGCCGGTGAACGTGACTAACGAGTCGCGGAGTCC